TCCATTCATGTGTGTGTGTGTGTGTGTGTGTGTGAGAGAGGGAGGGGGGGAGTCAATGCTGGATGCTGGGGCTGAAGTGGGGATTTAAGCAACAGGTTGTACTAATGTCTTCCACCCCTCTACGACACCCTGGGGGGCTGTAGGAGAGCGAGAATTTCTGCTTTTCCCAGACAACACCCTGGAAGCCTCCTATATGGAGGTGGCTCACCGTGCACCACACCGTTAGATTGAAATGTATTCATTGACAGGTGTCTTCTAATGCACAAACTCACATTTTTTTTCTCTCTTTTTGCACCACTGAAACGGGAAAATAACCAAAAAAAAAGAACCCACATTGCTTAAATTTGACAGATCTTAATCATTGCTGCTATAGCAAATTCCTAACATCAGTATTTCAGAAACAAATTCTGTATTTGTAACCATTTCACCCCGCCCCCTCCAAAAAAAAAACAATGCTACAGTTGGCAAAGCTTTGGATACCATCATGTGATTGTTSTATTTATCCACGTTGTATTATAAATGGGTATTTTTGGGACAGATTAGATGGCAGACACTCCAAGAACATTTTTGGATGCTAGCAGGCTGAACCACAATGGGCCGCTCCTCCTGGGGGCTGTAAAAACCACCGGAGGAAGAGGGGGAGAGAAGTGGGGAGGAAAAGGGAGGGAAAAGGTAAGCAAAGGGAGAGTAGAGTTCAGCGAGGGGACGTTGACAGCAAGGTGAAAGGTGTTGGAAGAAGAAGGTAAGGTTGAGGGAGGGGAGAAGGTGAGAAGCCAGGTGAGGACAAGAGAGTTTCTGAGTGAAACGAGGAGGAAGGAAGACCTCAGAGTCAAACCTTGAAATAGATAATTCAAAGGGTTTGGTTAGAAAAAAGTAAAGATCAGAAAGAAAAGAAAGAAGGGGTGAGGTTCAATCTTTTCGACACTGCAGCTTTCTGCAGTTTCTTCATATTTTCATAAAAGCTTCAAACAGCAGCATGAGTCAGTTCATGGTTATCATCCAAGTTACTTTCATTAATAAAACTCGTGACAAATGCCAGGCCTACGAACCATACATGCAACACGAGGTCCAGAGAGGGAACAAAGAGGAAGAAGGTGATGGATTACTACCAAGCAGGCAAAAGCAGAAAAACATGAATATGTGCTGAAAGCTCCAGTAACACCTGCTTTGCCTCTGCTCTGTAAGGTGTTGCCAGAAAAAGTGGGGAAAAAAACAACACATATCTGATGAGACGTCATGTGGAGATGGTCATCTCAGCTATGGGAAATGCATTTCAATAGAGGAGGGGGGGGGGAAAACAAGCGCATGACTGACAACTAACACCTTGATATGTACTTTATGAACCTTACTGTACATTTTAAAAGAACAAACAAAAAGAAAAAGATTCTTGTCGCTGCTACTTGTACAGAATTAACAGGAAAAAACAGAAAAACATATTTTAAAATGTACTTCAATTTCTTTTTTCTCCAAATCTGCGATCTGCTCCAAAATATGAGTCTTTGGTGAAACTTTTATCCAMCTTCCAGCAAGAAAGCTTGCAATTTTGCAGTTTTGATGCTGGTTAAACATTTTTGATTCTCAGCTGGGAAGGTGAAAGGATTATAAAGATGAGCTTTTATTCTGCTTGAAAATTGCCTCAGGGGAGTGCAGTTGTCGTGCAGGTGGTGTTTTTTTTTTCAATGCATAAGATGGTGATAT